ATATTAAGGATTTAGTTCATGACATATTATAAAATATTGAATTCATTAAGTAGGTATTGTTTATTCATCATGAAATATGTTCAAATATGCAACATTATGAGAGTGTTATGAAAAAATGAATGCCGTAGGGGATACCCAAATACGAGTTTTAAGAGGTTATAGGTTAGTTATAACCGGGTGTCAACGAATCTTTTAAATAAGTGATCACTTCTAGAATATTGGTTTTGAGGTTATACCCTGTATATTCTAACATTTTAGGCTTTCTGAGTCAATTCTGGATCAGACTGTGAGAATTTCCAAAAGTTTCAAGGACTACTCCATTTTTTCAAAGCCACTTTTAATGTTCCATCAAATGAAGCAACTTGAACTGTTTGCTCATAAAGTTTATGTGAGTGTCATTACCTAAGCGAGTGTTTTGTTTTACAAGAAAACTTTTTTTCATCTCTGGGAGCGCACAAAAGGAAATTCCTATAATGTTCGTGGAACATCTTGTGTACCTAGGGAGGATAGAGAGAGGAAATATGTGATGGATTTTTCGTTTTAACTTTTCGTTTTAACTTTTGGAGTTGAAGTTCTTGGGAGTTCTTCCATTGGCACTTGATGAGAATAACTGCAGAATATTATGCAACATAGCTTTTTCCATGGCACACTTGATTATAAAGTAGGTGAATGAATGAATTATTATCCAGTATTTTGCGTAGTAAGTAATACCTATTCAATTTATGTTGTTATTTTTAATCCAATCGCGAATAATAAGTATCGTTAGATTCGTCAAAAATAGTTATTTATACCAAGGACAAAAAAACTCTTCAAGAAAAGGATAATGAAATAAACCTATGACGTCAAGCAAGACATTATGTACTTTGAGTAAACAGAAAAGTTGCCTATTTCCAAAAAAATATAAACAAACATCCTCATAAAAAAATGATCATATTTCTAATTCTCAATTCAAAAATACTCACAAATATCAGAATATCACTAAATACAGTCACATAGGTACTTATTAGATATGAGTATGAGTAAATAGAGAACAGGACCAAATATAGAAATAAATAACAAAAAACAAAACAAACAAAAAAATCAAACGTAAGGAACAAACTGTCATAACAGAGGTATACAAAGAATTGAATTTGATCTGAATCAGATAAAGGATTGCCTTTTTTGGTTTATACATAATATCATTAGTACCTTTATGTAAATTCATTACTTATTTTGTTAAATTAATTCAAACAGAGCGTGCCGAAATATCATGCAATTTATAAGTGGATGTGATTAACTGAAGATTAATAATGATTAAAGTAATTATAATAATGAATAAGTGTCAAAATATTTTTCAGTAGGTCATAAAATGTTTCAGTAGATCGCAAATCATCAGGAGATCTACTAAAAATTCATTAGAGCTGGCAACCCTGCAGCGGACGAAAAGTGTTTTCGGACGAAAAGTTAGTGTATGCGGAAGGAAAGTACTTGGCTTCGGAATAGTCGTGAAAATGAACGTAAAATGTGATATTTTTGTAGAGGTCGACAAAAATCCATTTTTTATGCATGGTCGCCATTCAAAAAATAATATATACAAAAATGTGATTTTGCCAAGTTGTCTTATTCTTTTTTAACATATTAGTCACTAAAACTTCTCGCTTGTAATTTTCTGACGTCACCTGAGGTCCTTCGTAGGCGAAAATACTTTTTAAAATGTCACATTCTGTTCCAGAATTGTTTCAGAAATGCAAAAATGTTATCATATGTTCCGTGTAAAAATTCGAAAACAGAGCCATTTCCGGTGAAACTGGAAGAAAATCTCCGGTAATTTTGCACTTATCATGCGATGATTTTTTTTTTCGAAAATTTTTTTGGTACTTACGTATTTTTGTCTGAAAAACACGAATTTGATAATGAAAATGTGAACAAACCACTATTCATCGAGACATTTCAAGAAAAAGTTCGAAATTTTTCCTTCTTTTTGCCCTTGTGTTAGATGCATTTACAGGTACTTGCTCTTTTCATTTTGTCATTGGACACTTCATATACTCATGATGTACAGGGTGGCCAACTAAGAATCCAGAGTTCGATACCTCTGTTGTCTTGAGAGATACAAAAAAAGTTTTGCATTCAAATTAAAGTGATAACCGAGCTTCACATTTCAGAATTTCTTTGAAATACACAGGGTGTTCCGTAAGGTCGCAGCACATCAAAGCTATGTTTTTTTCATTGGAACACCCTATATTTTATTCCATTTTTGAATTCTCCCTAAAAATCTGATTTCAACGACGTATCATACTTAGGGTCTAGCAGTGAAAGTTACTGACATATAGGGTGTGCAAAATCGAGATTTTTCAAGTTCAAGATTTTTCATAATTCGTCAAAACGGTTTACATGTCCCTATCTCAACTTTTCACTCACTATCAATTGGTGTTCAATTGACATATAATTGAAACAAATTATAAATTTTGATTTTTTGACCACCATGTATCAATTTCAATTGAACACCAATTGATAGTGAGTGAAAAGTTGAGATAGGGACATGTAAACCGTTTTGACGAATAATGAACAGTTTCGACAGAAAAAAATCCTGAACTTGGAAAATCTCGATTTTGCACACCCTATATGTCAGTAACTTTCACTGCTAGACCCTAAGTATGATGGGTCGTTGAAATCAGATCTTCAGGGAGAATTCAAAAATGAAATAAAATATAGGGTGTTCCAATGAAAAAAACATAGCTTTGATGTGCTGTGACCTTACGGAACACCCTGTGTATTTCAAAGAAATTTTGAAATGTGAAGCTCGGTTATTACTTCAATTTTGATACATGAATTTATTTTGTATCTCTCAAGACAACAGAGAAATCGAACTCTGGAGTCTTAGTTGGCCACCCTGTACTTCTCTGACACATTTTAAAATAGAAAATTGAACAGGAAATATGATTTTTATGGCGAGTTTTTCCTTTTTAGTGAGCAAGCATACCAGATGACGGCCATTTAATCCATAGGCAATCCAAATACGAGTTGTCAAATGTCAATAGATTGCTTTGGAATGACATTACACACGCTATTATTTCAAATGATATTCTTCCTTCTCTTCACTAAACATGGATAAATCACAAGAAAATCATATTTCTAGTTGACTCATATAATAAAAAAATGTGTCCAACATTGTGTGATATATATAAATTGTCCAATGATGGAAAAAGAAGGGCAAATTGTTCTAAATGCTATCCAGAAGACAGGCGGAAAAGAAGGTGAAATTTGTAACTTTATAGTGAAATATCCTAATAAATAATGGTTTGTTCACATTTTCATTATCAAATTCGTGTTTCCAGACAAAAATACATAAGTACCAAAAAAATATTTCGAAAAAAAAAAACGATCGCATGATGAGTGCAAAATTACCAAATCTCCTCTTTACTTGTACTATTCACCTATACCAAATCTCATTTCAATACACCTGATATTCTGGAATTTATGTTTTGCTCGTTGACACTCGGTTTATAGCATCTTATATTTTATGACTTTTTGATGTGCAAGTAATACTAATTATTGTTCTTGTGCCACTTTCTCCGTTTGCGGTCGATAACGCTAAAAAACCTAGAAATAACTAGAAAACTAACACCTTTTCAATAACTGGTAAACGCATTCAAATAAGCAGTGATTTATTCACTCATCAATGTGAGCTCAATATAATTAATTCATTAGCTCTCAAATCCTCTCTTACCCCCATAATACTTGCCATTGTTATTTAATATAGAGAAACTAAAAACTAGCAATTGAATACCTAAATAAACCTTTAAAAATTAAGATTCCAACGAGTTTTTCGGAATATTTTTAGTTTTCAATTAATAACAATTCACCTTGTAAACCCCTATAAAAAAAGTTATCTGACGAATTTCAATATCGCAACCTGTTTGGTGACTCTATTGTGGACAATTTATTCATGTTAGCTCCTTTCCCTTTCAGAATTAGCAATTCGGTTTAACTTTGATATTAATGCCATTATCACACATAAACTGCATTTCAATCTACACACCTTCATACCAAGCGAAAAAGGTCTTATCAAAACAGCATAATATATTGAATGGGTGTGCCGAAGCTAAAACTTAATGAAAGGGGTCAATCTGCTGATACCTTACGCTTATCCCACAAATTGAATTTATTGAAGGATCAGAGTACTCAATATTGATTGGGTTGTACTCTGGTAGGATCACATTGTTTTTAAAAAAACGAATGCCGTTCCCATAGCAACTAATTTGTTGGATGCCTCCATATTTAACCATTTGTCGTTGTCTCATTGATTAAGTGTCTTGTTTCATTGCCTAAAATTACATAAAATGCTTCAAATAAATTCTTAACAAGTAGCAAGATTAGTTAGTTGCGTTAGTAAACGATGGGCGTAGTAAACGTTACGCCGTTCGTGCAGTGGGAGTTCATGAAGCAACTGCTCGTAGAGCAATCCACAAGTTCGAACAAACAGGAAGCACCGCTCGGAGGGTCGGTTCTGGTCGTCCCCGAAAAACTTCTCCAAGAGATGATCGCTTCTTGAGATTGCGGATTTTACGGAATCGATCAAATACTGCGGTAAATGTTCAGCAAGATCTTCGCCAAATTCGTGATGTTGCAGTAAGTAAGCAGACGGTATGTAGACGTCTGAAAGAAGTTAATTTAAAAGCTAGGAGACCTGCAAAAGGTCCCTAATTATTGGCCGAACATCGTGCTGCTAGAAGAAATTTTGTTGAAAATTATGGACAGTGGAATATTCCTGAATGGTCGAATGCAGGTTTTGCCTTGAAATGGTGGATGGAGAAATAAGAGTGTGGAGAAGAACTGGTGAACGGTTTAATCAAAATTTTATAACAGAATGCGAAAGTTTCAATGGTGGGTCCGTTATGGTGTGGGGAGGGATTTCAATGAATCGAAAGACACCCCTTCATGTTTTTCCGGTGAGGCAGTCGATGAATGCCCAAATTTACATTGACATTTTAGAGCAGTATGTCTTACCTTACACACTTTTTGTTTTCAGAACCGTGAGGTCTGGTGATAATGAAAGTCTGCGCCATAGAAGACAAGCTGAAACGCACAATTACAAAAAATCTAATGCTGAAGTGTCAACACCAACGGTAGATGGGGGGACTTTGAATAACTTACTGGAGGACATGCGTTTTGTTCCTGGGCGATTTTTCTTCGCCATTTTTACGCTTCTATGCTCATTTACATCCTCCAAGGTAAAGTTTTATAGCAATTAGCAATAATGTCATTTCGTTGATATGTGAGGATATGTGGGTCTGTGTGGAAACTGGTTCCTATGTAACGTCTTGTTTGTCCTATATAAGTCTAAATAAGTAAATATACCTACATTAAAACTCTTTTTGACTGTGGGATAAGTTGTTACATCAATTTCTCCTAGGTAATGATAATATAATAATCGATTAACGAAAATAGATATGAAGATTCAATTCATTGAGCTTATTGTTTCTGTATTTGTTGTAATTTGTTTGTGATTCGGAATATTTTTGAAGTCAGTCTATACCTATTGATCCATGATTTACATTCGTTTTTATAACCCAATAACTAGAAAATCGATGAGTGGTATATTTGCATCCTGTCTGTGTCTCCATGAATGAGGTGAAGGCCAGATAATTGTACGATATACAGGGTGATTCCAAATTCGATGTAAATATTTCAAGGACATATTGTAGGTATATCAAAATAAGACTTTTTCTTCATAAAAACATGTGTTTTGAAATGCACCTCCTCTCACTTACGGTCACTGTAAGTTGGGAAAAAGAAGATGATCTAAAATTGTGACTAAAATGAAGGGTAAAATCTTCTAAAAACTGGCATTCCCTTGTCTTTTGAGACACTTCAGTTCCTTTTTTATTGAAAAACGATGTAGTAAACCCAGTTTTGGGGAAGTTGGAGGGGGTGTCCCCACTTTTATTGGCCAAATTTTCTGTTTAAAAAGATGAACTCCGATTTTGAATAGTATGATCTTGTGGACCATGAAAAGTTGTGGAAAATCGGCCTCTTGCATTTTTTTCGTACAACTAACCGATTGTCAGAAAATCGTAATCAACGGAAGGGGAAGTCACGACATCATTTTCTAGAATGGGTTGAACGCTTGCATACGGAGGTGATGGTATGTCGGAACGCATTTCAGACTGCTATTTCAGAAGCACTTGATCCGTTATTGCATTTTAGGACACATGTTTAAATTACGAAAAAGTCTTATTTTGATCCCAACAATGCGTCCTTGAAACATTTACATCGAATAACTATTTGAGGAAACAATATCGATGGTTTTCGGTTGTTAGTGATTCCAAATAATTATGATAATTTCCTTTTTTCTATGTGAAATCCAGATTTTTTAAGTTCTTATCCTATATTTTTTTCCATCAAGATTTTTTTTCTCATTTTCTGATCTGAAAACACAGATAATCGGTTTCGATAAAACGATGGTTGCGGTTGTTAGATTAACAAAAAATCTATATTATGTACAGTCTGTCCAAGATAAGGTTGCACAGCATGGGGATCTCGGAAACGGTAGGAGATACGAAGTCGGTTAAATGGGGAAAAAGTTGCGCATTCGGAGGCTCATACCAACAGCCTTCGAAAATTTTCAAAATTGTTTTAAGTTTTCCAGTTATATCGAAAAAAGTGAAATTTTGGAATGTCTATTTCATTTTTTTTCTTCTGTATATATCAATACATAATTCTTGGGGTGTAGCTGGCATGATTACAGAGATATACGCGATTTTTCAACTTTAGGATTTTTTTGTGTCGAAACTATTCATTATTGGTCAAAACCGCTTACATGCTTACATCTCAACATTTGAATTACTGTCTCTTGAAATTAATTGGAACAAATACAGGGTGGTTCAATATTAAAAATTCTGATCGCCGTGTATCTGTTCCAATTGAATGTCAGTAGATAGTAAATCAAAGTCAAGATTGTGACATGAAAGCCGTTTTGACCGATAATGGATAGTTTCGACACAACAGAATCCTTATGTTGGAAAATCCCGGTTTTGGACACTCTATATCTCTGTAATTATACTTTATTGGGGTTATCTTATTTGTCAGTAATCGAAAAATATAGATTTTTTTCGTATAAATCTAAGGCAGCTGTAGAGCGCCAGAAGATTTTTGTATTCACGATGCTTTTTTGCATTTCCTAATACTCTGAATGTTTGTAAAAATCAAGAGAAATGAAAATATTCCTGTTTTTTATTAGGATTCACATTACATCCCTAAAGCATATTCTTCTTTTATAATAATTACTATCGGATAATTGAGAAATAGTATATTGTTTAACGAGCACGGAATGATAGTGATTTCCTACAAGAATGAAGTTTGCAGCATGAGCCATAGGCGAATGGATCGATTTCTTCGTCTTGTAGCCATCTGATTTCCTGTCAAGTATTGCTCATCTATTAGACTAAGCTGTCATTGCTTTAAATTTGATATATCATGAGCGAAGAGTTTTTTTTTTTGAAATAATAACACAATGGAGTCATTGTGATATCAGATACGGAAATAAAATTGATGATATACAAAGTACCTCATTGATGTATCGAACACAGTAAAACAGGAGCAATCTTGTGTTATAGCCGTAGAAAAAAATTAAATAATAATTGAGTTTTGTACGCCTGGGCGACCATTTCCGTACTGTATAATACTAATACAATCGCGTGGTTTTCCGCATTTTCTCTTCATGTCCGATAACGATCCATTGCACCTTTTGGGGACATCTAGAACAAGTCGACATGGCATCGTTTATTTTTCATTCGTTTGCCAAGTGGAAAACGCCGTATATAATGCCAATGTCGAGATATCTAAAGCTGTAATACGTGCCGGTCTATTTTCAACCGCACATTGCTAGATCAGTAGGTTATTTCATTGATCGGAATTCAATATGAAAACTACATATTCGAGAATACGTCTAGCGATATCCAGGGCCGGCTGCAGGGGACCCTGGCCAATGAAAAATGTGGATGCTCTTCCTGTTAACAAATAATTTTCAAAACCTACCTAATACTCAATTTTTATATTGCAAAAAAAATCAAGTATCATCAGTTATTTTGAAATTTGAAATCATTTGCACTTGAACTTGTGAGCTTGAATTTTATCTCAGATTATAAACTGTCATTCTGGCCCTTAACCCTCGTACATTTTTTACCGTATCCAATTAATAATCTTTGAATTTTGCCACCATAGAATATTGCATCATATATGAGGCCTTATGATATACCAAATAGCCTGATGGCAATGTCCTCTATAGAGGAACAGCTGCAAAAGCAATTCCTCAAAATATGGCAGGACACACCAGGAATGAGACAATCGAAGCTCCACATAAAGGAACCTTCGAAGAGGCTCGCAAAAGAGGTTTTATTCCTAAGCAGGCGAAACCTTAAAATGGTAGTGGGGCTCCTAACGGGGCACAACCACCTCAATAGGCACCTAGAGCTTATTGGGATCAAGGATGACCCCCTTTGCAGATGGTGCCTGGAAGATGACGTCCAGCACTGACGCATCAGAGGAGGGCTGTCCTTGGCCACATAATTTTGAGGCCAGAGGACGTAAAAGAGATTCAGCTGAACTTCTCCAAGGCAGTCGGCATACCCAGGTGAATGTCGTAACATGTGGGCGCACAATGGGCCCGAATAAGGAGGCCCACGTGCAGGGGGTTCACCCGCCCACCAGTGCTTCGAAGAAGAGGCCTTATGATCTTGTAGGTCCACTACTGAACAGATTTGACATAAGATGAAAACTCGGATAAAAATATCTCTTTTTCTACGGCTATAACACAAAATTGCTCTTGTTTTACTGTGTTCGATACATCAATGAGGTCGTACTTTGTATGTCATCAATTATATTTCCGTATCTGATATCACAATGACTCCATTGTGTTAGTTCTTCAAGAACATCTCATCGCTCATGGAATGTCAAATTGCAAGCAATGACAGCTCTGTCTAATAGATGAGCATTACTTGACAGGAAATCAGATGGCTATAAGCCGAAGAAATCGAAAATGCCGCTGTTATCTTTTATAGCCGTAGAAAAAATATAGTGTATATCTTGCACGGAATGCTAAATTCCTACTCGAATGATTACAGCATTCGCCTATGGCTCATGCTGCAAACTTCATTCTCGTAGGAAATCACTATCATTCCGTGCTTGTTAAACAATACACTATTTTCTCCAAACGGTATAGAAATTTGCTTCTCTATGACACTTAACAGGCAGCAAAGGTGTACTTTCTCTGCCTAGGCAGAAAAGTTTGTTGCGTTCCAAGTAATTTGAACGAAATTGGTAATCAAAATTGACACTGACATTGGGTGAACACAAAGTGATGGAATTTTCAATAAAAAAATTTCACAAAATTGGTTTCATAACATTTGTAGAAAAAATCATATGTTTCACATGGCAGCAAAGGCTGAATTTCTAGCCTCTCCATCTCAACTATCGGTCGCGGCAGTCAATCTAACTACTTTACTGCCTAGTAAAACAAATAACTATAGTTATTAATGTCACAATATTTGAAAATCTCACTGTTAACAGATATTTAATCGAAAGTTAATGACACCTTGTTCAAAAAATTTTTGAAGAAGATCAATACATAGGTATACCGAAAAAATATCAGAATGTGACTAAGCTTTGAACGTTTCAGGGACGAATCTGCACCCGTTTTCAACATAAAAATGGAAAATTAATTTTACAAATCGTCGTTTCGTTTCCGCTTTTTGACAAATTCCAAAAATCTATCTCTTGTTTTGATATATTTCATTATTCATTACTTTCTTGAGATTTGAAACACTTGTTATAACATTTTCAAATCCGAAACCCAAGTGGAGACACTCAATGAGGTCCGTTTTTTACTTTTTATCTTCTGTAACTGAAACGCATATTCACTCCGTGACTTTTCAACATTTACCACCTTTTGAGATTTATTATTCTGAAATTTCCATTTTTTAATTTTCAATCTACAGATATTATATGATACTGGATATTGATTCAAAATATCGATTATGTGGTATCAACGTGTTCGTAACAAAATACTCTTTTCAGACATGGTAATGAGCAACCCTTCTTCTATTTGAAAAAAATTGTTCACATTATAATTACGATATGGAAAAATGTTAATCAACCTGTGAAACAAATGAAAAGTAAAACTTCATCGAAAATATTTTTCCTCTGCATCTTGATTCAAAATCAACTGTTTTAA